GCTGACGGCCCTGTTGTGTGTGCTCAGTTCCTCCAGCAGTACCACCACTACCAGTCCCATGTGGAGATCTTCACCTTCCAACCGGACAAGCCTAGCAAGGAGCTGGCCGAGCTGGTCATGTTCCTGGCGCAGGTAAGCCGCTGCCCCTCTGAAGGGCCGCCGTGGCGCTGGCCTGGAGCCCTCCACCAGCCGCAGAGCCTTTGCCTTGAGCGTGGTGGCTGCGGCAGGTTAGGCTGTTATGTTGCCAGAGTCGCCGTAAAACTGTGCCTTGACTGAGGTTCCTGCAGCGGTGTTGTTTGTTCCCAGCAACTTGAGTCTTGTGTTTGAGCACTTGGGACAAATTTCTGAAAGCATTTTTTAATTGCATCGTACCTCTTACATCTGGGCATTAAGCACTTAATTTTGATAGAATGGTAACGATCTGTTTCCATGTAGGTTGCCCACTGCTACCCAGAGCACATGGCCAATTTCCCCCAGCAGCTGAAGGAGCTGCTCTCCTACCACCACACAGTCCTGGATGTGGACCTGCGCATGGTAAGACCTACACTGAAAGGCATTTTGAGTCCTCCTGTGGCTAAAATGTGGCCTTTAGATGTGAGACAAGGGCTTACGGTTCGCTCTTTAAATTTGTAAGAAAGATGGAAACTGTGGAGGGTTATGAAGTCCTGGATCTGATTCCCCCTTTCTCTTACAGACATTCTGTAAGGCTTTGATCTTGTTAAGAAACAAGAATTTAATAAACCCAACGAGTTTGCTGGAGCTCTTCTTCCAACTGCTGCGGTGTCATGATAAGCTTCTACGAAAGGTAAGCTGTGCTTACAAAAACCCCTCTTGATTTCCAGTGGGATTTGACTGAGTTGCTGGAAGTAACAGAGCACTGGCAGGCAGTTCTTCTCCTGTCCTTGTTAATAAAATGGGAAGGTTGAAGTTAGTTTTGCTCATTCAGCAATTGACAGAGGCAAACTCAACCTGTGTGTTAGGTTAAAAGTGGGATGTGCTGCTGTAAATATCTTTACCGTGTCCTGTGTTTGGAATGGAGCAGCCTGGATGTGGTGCAGATAAAAACCCTACAGAGGTTGCTGTCAGAGCAGGCCTTGCTGAATTCTTTGTGAGGACTTTGGAGGAAAACAACTAAAACCACACTAGCTGCTGGTTAATGCTGTATTTTGTGGTGGTTTTTGCCACAGAAGTGGCAATACTTGCTTTCTGCTGCCCGAATTGCTACACTGGCCATTGGAACATGCCCGAGTGGAGTAGGGGTTGGGAATTTTTAAGCAATACTTCATGGTGTTCATTTTCCTGCCTTAGTGCAAGCATGCTTTTCAAATACATGAAAATAAAGCATATGTGAGACTTGACGGGATAACTTCTTGTAGTTTTTCCAACTGTTAACTTTGGGACTCTCCCTTTACAGACTTTATACACTCACATTGTGTCGGACATCAAGAATGTCAATGCTAAACACAAAAACAACAAAGTAAATACAGTAAGTGTTTTGGTTTTCAAATGTACTTCAATTGAACCTCTTGATACTGTGAAAGACTTGTAGCAGTAACTGTTTCCCAACTTGTTTCTTAGACACTGCAGAACTTCATGTACACTATGTTGAGAGACAGCAATCCCACTGCTGCCAAGATATCTCTGGATGTGATGATTGAGCTTTACAGAAGGAATATTTGGTGGGCTTGGCAGGCTCGTATTGATTCCCTGTTTGTTACATGCAACCACTCTGACATCACTTGTGGCACATAGTGCAAAATGTAATGCAGGGGACAGTGACTTCACTCTACTTTCATTTGTTCCAGAGGGGCTGTATTTTGTGGAACGGGGTTTAGATGGGAAGAAACACTCTTGTGTGAAGTCTTGGTGTTAGTTAGGTGGAATTCTTGATGTTTTAGTTGAAAATGGTATGTAAATTGTGTGTATTGCATTTGAAACTGAAGCTGTGTGCAGCTCGCTTCTTGGAGCTCTTGCACATAAAAGCTGCTAATATTAGCATACAGCTTGTGAGGTACAGTGGGAAGAGGAATTTTGGTGTGTTTTTCTTGTTAGGTATGTAAGTTCATTCTAGATGACTGATCTAATGGGTGCTTTGAGTTTTGTGAATTGGTTTTGTTTTGTGAAGCTGTACTACTTTGCAAATCTAGTTGGAATGTTGAGAGGTTTGATTCTAAGGAAACTTCCTGCTTGTTAGGAGTCACTGTCGTGAGAGTTTTTCTGGGAATAACTTGAAGTTGCCAAACTTAAAGTAAAAGGTGACGTTTTATTTTACACCAGGAATGATGCCAAAACAGTCAATGTCATCACAACTGCCTGCTTTTCAAAAGTGACAAAGGTGAGAACAAAAATCACTTGATGAAACTGGATGTTACCATTTTTCCTGCAAATGCAACTTATTTTGTAATTGCAAACAAGCTTCACTGATGATTGGTCTTTGTTTTATTTTCAGATACCACTTGTGTTGTGGGAGGAGGTGGTATTTGGTCAGCAAAAGCTGGCTGTCAGTAAACCACTCTAGCTTACTCTTGATTTGTTTTGCTTTCTGTTCATATCCCTGCCTATAAAAAATTAGGGGAGTCTTGGTATAACCTTAGATGTGGATGTAGGGCTATTTTAAATACTTTTGTCAGTTTGTCCTGTCCTACATAAACTTACATTGCTTTTCAGGTGTTAGTTGCTGCTTTGAAGTTCTTTCTAGGGAAAGATGAAGATGAGAAACAAGACAGTGACTCAGAATCTGAGGTGGGTGTTGTGATTAAATCTTCTCCTCTGCATTCTTCAAACTCATCATGGGCCTGTCATCCTAGTGACCCTGGCTCTGCCAGTGTGTCTGCTTCTGTTAGTTTTCCATCTTGTTTCCTGTAGATGTTTCTGTGCTTCACAAAAAAGTTCAGTGTTTCTGACAGCTGGCCCTAGCTGATAGCAGGATGCCTTTGCTGTCTGTCTGAAGACTAATGCTAAGAACTTTGCTTTCCTAAGTCTTATTTTCCTTGCATTCTTTCTCAAGGACGATCTTCCCACGGCCAGAGATCTGATGATGCGCTACGCAACCAACAAGAAAACCACCAAGCGCAAGAAGAAACTGGAGAAAGCAATGAAGGTTCTCAAGGTGAGGAATGCCTGACTTGGCAGTGTTTTAGCTTAATCCTTCAAGTGCAAAGATCTTCTTGTTGCTCCTGATGACTTAGTTACCTTCTGTCATTTCTTCTAGGTAAAGGTCCTTAACTGTTCTAGTGTCCACTGGCCAGGCATATGCTGTGTTTACCTGGAAGAGAGCTGTTTTGAAACAGGCTTAAATTCCAAGTTGTGGATTAGTTCTGCTCTGGGTACCCTTTGCCTGGTCCTCTACTTTATGAAGTGTGTGGTGTCTTGATAAATATCTCTTCAATATAGTTCCAGTTGCCTCTTAGGTCAGGTGGAAAGAAAAAACTCTGTGTCTCTTTTTGTACACAGAAACAGAAAAAGAAGAGCAAGCCAGAGGTGTTCAACTTCTCTGCTATTCACTTGATTCATGATCCCCAAGGTAAGCCTGCATTGTGTATTGTCTTTTTCAAGTTCGGCGTTAATCCTGGACTCTAAAGCTTAGACACAAGTCAGCAAGGAGAATGAGTGACAGACAGACACAAATGTGAGAATGTGATGGTTGCTGTGTGCTTTATCCTAGAACTTCGTAGCACTTGAAGAGAATAAGATCATATGTCTTCTGCTTGTTGTAGTGCAACATTTTAGATAGACATGGAAGGAAAAATATTACACCGTCTGCTTGCGGTTGTTACAGATCAGGATGCGGCTCTCCACCTCTGTTCTATGTTTGAAGGCCATAAATTGGTTATTGGAGGGTAGTTTACTACAGCTTCTTTGGCCTACCCTCTTCAAAAGTTTATTTCTTCTTCTAGTCTGTTTGTCTAATAGCACTTGACTTGGTCTTAATCTCATCTAGTGAACCTCTGGGGATTTTGTTTTTCAGATGAACCCAAAATATATCTAAAACCCCCTAGCTTTAAATACTGACCTTATGCTTATGATGCTGCGGAACTTCTGCTAGTTTTCTTCTGATCAACCTGTGCACATCTTTGGACCTTTTAGGCATGTGAGAAGAAAAACGTCTCCATTGGGAGAAGTGCTCTGGCCACCTTTAATTTCTTGTGCCTGAGGGCACTGGGGCTTAAAGACCCAAATGGAACTGACAGCCCTTATTAAGGGCTAATCCTGGCTGATTTCTGCCTTGTGCTTTTTAAGTCTACCACAAACCTGTTGTTGCTTCTTCTAGACTTTGCAGAGAAACTGCTGAAGCAGCTGGAGAGCTCTAAGGAGCGATTTGAAGTGAAGATGATGCTCATGGACCTAATATCTAGGCTAGTTGGAATACACGAGGTAGATAATCTGTTAATTTTACAATGGTTTGATGGCAGCCATCTTGGTTTGGGTGGTGGCGTGCTCTGGCTTTTTCCCTCTGGAATATGAGGTTTAATTTTCCTGTACGTTGAAAAGTGCAGATGGATGGTCAGGTAGTTGCCACTGGGAAGGGTGCAGTGGGGTGGACTTATGTGGTACTAAGTGACCTCTGTTAGAGAAAGCTGTTGGTCTGGAATAGCTGAGCTGTCCCTAACAAATAAAGGAGAGCATGTCTTTGTCAAGACCTGTGTGCTCCTGGGAGATTCTTCAAAGGAGATGAGTCCAGTGATTGCTCATAGACAGCACTCTGAGGTACAGCCGAAGTGTCACTGATGTTACTGGTGTCTTTCTGTTTTGTGAGAGAAGGTTGTGTCTCTGAGGCAAAGTGGCACACTGTAGGGTTGTGCAGCAGAGTGCCCTAATTTGAATTACGCACAGGTTAACAAGAGCTGCTCTGGATTTCACAGATCTTGGGATTGAGCCTTCTGTTTCCTTTGTGCAAGTCGCTTCCTCATCTCCACATTTATCAAACTCAGGATGTTAGAATGCATCATACAATAAAATCAGAGGCATTTGGGGAGCATGCTGGATTGTTTCACAGCATATCAGCCTAGGAGGGTGATCTCAAGCGTAGAGACAAGAAGCTAACCTGTTACATCTTTCTTGCAGCTTTTTCTTTTTAATTTCTACCCCTTTGTTCAGAGATTCCTACAGCCCCATCAGAGAGGTAAGTAGCTAGTAATAGATAATGCTGATGGTCTATCATCTCACATGTACAGTCACTTAAAAGTGGTACTGCAAACAAACAGGCAGCAGCAGCTTAGTAGTACTCCACAGACTTTTGGATGAAGGAAGTAAAAGGCTATGACTGCTAGAAGTGCGAAGAACTTTGGACTTTCATGGAAGCTGTGTGCACTCTGCTGCTGACTTGAGTGTTTGAGAAACTCAAGCAATGGAATAAAATGCATCTATTGAGTCCCTGGTTCCTTGCAAATCCTGACTTGCTAGCAAAGCTTGACTGCCTTTTGCTGCTTTGTTTTACTGGTGTTTCAGTCTGTCTTAGCTGTAGAGAATTTCTTCGTGTCTTAATTGGCTATTAAGGGACTGCACTGCTGCTGGGGTGGAGACCAGGTGAGTTCCCTTGGTGAGAAAGGAGAAATAGTTGTCCCAAGTAACTACAGACTGAAATGGCTTTGAGACTTAGGCTGAGTGGTTTGAGTTGGCTGTTTTGGTGGGTGCCTCTATGAGCCAGAGTAAGCTGCAGCAACATACTTTTGGCATCTTCTTCCCTCTTTTCTTCCAGAAGTGACAAAGGTTCTTCTGTTTGCTGCACAGGCTTCACATCAGCTAGTACCACCTGAGGTCAGTATTCCACCTGTGCTTGGTGATGTTAAAAATGGACAGCAGGCCGGCACGGAACTGAGTGCATTCATGGGGAGGGGGAAAAGCGAATCTGGTCAGACCCTTGGCCTTTAAAAGCTTACTGTAATTTTGGCTACTTCAGCAAGTTCCAAGGGATTTTTTTTTTTTCTATAAAGGGGAAGAAGACCCATCCCCATGTTTGATGTCTTCATTTCTGCAAGAGAGAACTTGTCTAGAAAATATTTGCAGGTTATAGTGACAAGTCCTGAGCTCTTTCTGTGAAGAGGTTCTGTTGTGTGTTAGTATGTAATCACTTCGACGATTTTACTGAATGCATTGTTAATTTAACCTTTTTTCTTATTTTCAGATTATCCAGTCAGTGTTAATGACCATTGCCAACAACTTTGTCACTGACAAGAATTCTGGGGAGGTCATGACCGTAGGGTGGGTACAGAATAGTAAAAAACCTGTGAAACTCTCTCTGAATGTGGAAAAATATTTATGCTTTTTAAACGACCTGCAACTTTTTGCTGTCATTTGTACTGCTCTTTACAGAACCTGCTGGATTAAAAATGAGTTAGGACAGTATCTCGGCAGAAACTTACTTTATTGTTGTTGGCAGTGGTTTAAATTCCTCAGAATGATGGGTTTCTGGGCTTACTGCTGTGGCTTAACTTTTCTGGATTTTATGGTGGTGTGGGATTTCTGCTTTCTGGTTTGATCTTGTATTTTTCTTGTTTCCTGGATACTGTTAGTTCTACTTCGAGGGCAGAGCTCTTGTCTGTGAGTTAATGTATTGGTATATACTGGTATATACTAGTTCCTAGTTCAGGACTCTGAATTTGTTTTGTGGATCAAATGTCATTACTGACAACAAGTGTAAATGTTGCTGTTAGTGAAACTGTTACATACTTTCTAGAAAGAAATACCTGTTTGATCTTCTAGTCAATGGCTGGAGAGTGGAGTACAGGCCAAAGATGGATGGTTTTGGAGAACCATGGCACAGAGCTCCTTGTGATGTTCTTTCTTATGTTTTTGTATAAATGCTGTATAAGCTTTTCCAAGTTCCAGCTCATTCAGTCTGTTGGTGGGCCAGTGGGAGCCTCTCCCAGCTGTGGTGTTGACAAAATAAATCATTCACCATTTTTCAGAATCAATGCAATAAAAGAAATCACTGCAAGATGTCCATTAGCCATGACTGAAGATCTGCTCCAAGACCTCGTTCAGTACAAGACTCATAAAAATAAAAGTGAGTGTTTTACATGGATATGATTTTAAAACTATCTTCCTGTATCAGCTGGTTCTCCATAGTTACAACCTTCAGAATAGTGACGTCTTAATTACTTTTTTTGTGGGCTGAGGGGTACAATTTTCTATGTTAGTTGCATTTCTCTGTATTTTTAGTGTATAAATGTAGGAGACAAAACAATCAAGGGTAGTTGTGGCAGGGAAACTAAGAGACAAAAAGAGACTAAGAAACAGCTTGTTAATAAAGATTTAGCCCTAAGGAAGAGCTGGATCCTGCACTGGGGAAATTAGAGGGAGCTTATAACTTCAGAAGAGGCATGAGCCGGGCTGCAAATATTGGTTGTATGAGTGCACTTTCCATTTGTTCAGAAGTCTGCTTTTCTGTATTTAATCCTGATTCCCTATTTTCTGGATAGATGTGATGATGTCTGCAAGATGTCTGATACATCTCTTCCGTTCCCTGAATCCAGAGATGCTGCAGAAGAAATTCAGGGTAAGTGTTGTTTTATGTGGATTCCACTAGCCATGAACACAGGCTCATGTAATTCCCCTGCCTTTCTGACAGGGCATCCTCTTATTTCAAGATTCCCTTAGTTCAGATTTATCAAACTCATGGGCAGAAGCCTGACCATCTTCCTAGAATTCGTTCAACTTCCTACTAATTAAAGATCTTCTCTTAGTTTATCAGGCAGAATTTTTCACTCTCCTCTCCACAAACTTTTGATAGATTCGTGGACATTAAAATACTAGCCTGTTTAACATGTGTTTTGTTAACTTACAGGGTAAACCTACTGAGGCTTCATTGGAAGCCAGGATTCATGAATATGGAGAACTGGATGCCAAAGATTATATTCCAGGAGCAGAAGTACTGGATGTTGAGAGTCAAATAGAAAAGGGAGGAACCCAAGAAGGTTGGCCTTCTTTTCTTTACCACTTCTATAGTGAGCATAGTCACTGAGATTTTATTTGGACATAAAACTTGGTATACTTTAACTTATTTTCTACTGTCACATGCTGCATGGCTTGCATATAGAATCACAGAATGGTTTGGGTTGGAAGGGACCGTAAAGATCACCTAGTTCCAGCCCCCCTGCCATGGGCATGTCTGTGTCTGTTCATGAAGAAGCATTCTTACTATTCTTGAATAAGTGCAGTTTACCTAGTGAAGTTTGATACTCTGTGTTGCTTGTTATGATAGACAGTGAGGGGTGGAGAAGCATAGGGACAGATGTTTTACAGCTATGAAACTTCAGGTGTTAAGCTCCTGTTCCTAGAGGAAAGTTTTTGTGTATTATAAAACACTGAAAATGTACTTTGAAATAGTACTTTGCAATCCAAGCTTAAATTATTTCCAATTCTAGCAGTTAAGCAGAATCTGTATTAACAGCTCTCTATGCATCTTCCCCTGAGCAGATGGATGGGAAAGTGCTAGTCTGAATGAGGAAGAAGATAATGAAGATGGAGAATGGATTGATGTGCATCACTCCTCAGATGAGGAGCAGAAAGAAGTAGTGAGTTCTATGTGTCTTCTACCCCAAATATGTATCTTGGTAATACCAGACCAGATTCTTTTGCTCTGCACTTTGACATGGCTGCTCGCAAATAACTATGCAGGGCTGTGGAGTAGCTTGACCAGGATCAGCGAGGTTGAAGTACCCATGTTGTTAGGGGTAAGGGGGAGAGGTGGGAAATTCTGTCCCACAGCTAAACTCGTTCAGAGCTGTGATACTTACATGAGGTTCTTCTACTCATTCCAAAATGTGGAGTGGATCTTTATTCTAGTGATACATGTTGGGTGTAAGACTATAAAGAAACCTTACAGCTGGTTGTAGCATTTCCCAACAATATTGCCCCTACATAAGTACTTGGGAGGCAGGGGTCATGGATCGGGGCATAAAAATGGTTTGCAAAGCTCTGGATGATTCATGTTTTGACTTCTTTGAAAAGGCAGAGAAGGTGAAAAGTATGCCCATGGAGGAACGAAAAGCCAAAGCTGCAGCAGTCAGTACAAGCAGGCTGCTCACTCAAGAAGACTTCCACAAAATACGTCTCGCCCAGCTTTCCAAAGAAGTGAATTCTGCACCTGGCAAAGCTGCAAAGAGGAAATACATTGAAATAGATGAAGAAGAGGAGGAGGAGGGCAGGTGGGATATGGACTACTGATGAGTGCTTTCTCTTCCCTGTATCGCCTATAATCTGGTGATACAGCTTTTAACTGCAGCAGGGCATGGAGCTCTGCTGTGGTCAGTATCCCCTGGTGACACACAGAGAAGAGCCACACAGCTTAGAACAGATCCTAGCTGAAAGATTTGTTTATACCTGGGAGAGAAGACAAGAGGGACTGTTGGAAACCTTGAGTCTGTTTTGCTTGTTCAGACCAATGGGTGTGGGGGGGTTTTATAGCAGTATTGTATCTCCAGAGTGCATAAACTTCATGTGTAAAGCAGGACTTGAAGACAGTAATGAGAGACTTATGTAAGGGTTGTCCCAAGCATGAGGATTAGACTGAGAACAAGAAGTGTTTGTGGAAATTTTATGGAAGGACAGTGGTGTAAGAGCTGGGTGAGAGACAAAGGTTCAAGAGGGCATCTTGGTTTCCTCGCCAGATGAATTTTGTGTGTGATGGCCTTCTGCTGGGTTTTTGTGTGTGTGCAGGGGAGAGCTGCTTTCGCTCAGAGATATTGAACATCTGCACAAGAAGCCTAAATCGGACAAGGAGACCAGGCTGGCAACTGCAAAGGTGAGGAACTAACAGGAGATTTCATATCCTCTGTCTCTAGATCTAGGTTTGTGTTTGTCTCCTGCAGAAGGAGGAAGAGGTGGTGTCCACCTGCCTTCTGTGTTTTGAGAAATATTTTGTATAGTTTTTTTGCTGTTGTATCTTGGCTGTAACAAACAGCCTCTTGCTGGTCACAAGTGACAATGAAAACAGACAAACCCAATTTTCACTGTTACTTAAATACAGTCAGCATGGAAAAATGTGTGATACAGTCCTACTCAACCTGCATTTATTGTTACTGCCATAGAACCTGTTGCCTTAGCAGATGATGTTAACTGTAGGGCATGAAAAATGATGTTATACTATGTTGTCTATTCTAGGCTGGAAAAACAGACAGAAAAGAATTTGTGAAAAAGAAAACGAGAATTAACCCATTTGCTAGCTCTTCCAACAAAGAAAAGCAAAAGCACAAGAACTTCATGATGATGAGATACAGCCATAGTGTCCGGACAAAAACCAAGCGTTCCTTCAGGGAAAAACAGGTAATGTTTAATGTTGAAAATAGATGGGCCATTCTGAGAGTAAACAGGTGAAGTGCTGTCTATCCTGTGCCATCAGTCATTGCTGCTGATTTTGATGGTTTAATTGCTGGTAGGGCCTTTGTGTGAGATGGCTGTGAGCCCTGTCATGAGGAGGTAATTCAGAGATGGTGGTGAAGAATCCTTTTGTCAGTCTCTGCTTCAGTGTGCATTGAGAACCAAGCCCAGTTGCCAAGTCATGTGTAGGTTAGGAAGGCGATGATATGGTTTGTTTTCCCTTATATAAATTGAAGATCATATTAGAACCCTGAATATAATACTGTGATAGAAGTAGCTTCCCTGATACGGAGGAGTGTTTTTCAGGACAAGCTTTTAGTGTGTTTCTTCACTCTGTATTATTTCTTTGACCTTTCTCCTATTACTGTCATATTATGGACTCGTCTGACCTGGCCTGGCTTGGCTTTCCTCTAATAGCTTGTCATAAATGTACTTAAAGTACAGACATAAATGTTACTTGCTATCTACCTGAAGCTGTTTAGAAAAACCAAAAAGACTTCAGTTTAGCTTGCCACAGTGTTTTCACCATGTGCTGCTCTCATTAGTGATGCTCTGGTCCTCTGCTGCTTCCTTAGCTCTAAGCTTGGCTGTGGCCCTTGGGGAAGGCTATACAAATGTCTATTGGACAATCCAGTTACAGTGTGTTCCCACAAGCAGCCATAACAAGGGTGGCTAAAGGGATATCTGAAAGGCAAGGCAGAAACTTGAGGGGATGACTTATCCAACCTAGAAGAGCAGAGCTGCCAGGAGAGGCATGTGGTCAGGGAGCCCCCTTCTCCTGTGGTGCCCCTCAGCTGGGCATCAGGCCCAAACTGTGAGTGGCAGCTGTTGCTGGAGTGCTGGTGTAGGCATATTACCTTGCCCTGCTGAGTTTCACCTTGGCAGAGTAAGTCAGTGCTAACAACAACAATATGCCTTAAAATCCTTTTATCTAACCTGGCAGATGGCTAGTCTAGGGCTTTACAGGGCATTACACATTTGAACTCCTTTGAACATGTTCCAAGAAAAACTTCTAGAATAATGCAATTGTGTGCTGTTACTTTTTTGTATTGTTCTGTCTTGTGCTAGAGTGCCTTCAGATGCTTCTTTTACAAAACCTCCTTTGAGTTGTTTCCAGGGTCGTATCATTAGGGTAATGTATATTTGGGTAATTCTTGTCTTAAGAGTGGCAAGTGTGAAACAGGTTATAGACTCAATAGAGAAACAATGTCTTGTGTGCTTCTGTTAAACAGGAAGACTTGGACTGATATTCCCTGTAGTCTTGTCTATTTGCTGTCATTCTGCCTTACTCCAGATAAGGCTGACCATGTTCACACAGCTCTCAAACACACACGGTCACAAACAAACAATCTAGGCACTTAGAGGAAACTGCTGTTTACAATGATTCTTACGCTTGGCTCTCTTTTTCTAAAAAGCCATGTTGAATGATTTCAGTACTCACTTCCCACTAATGTTTCAAGTTTAAATGTAACAACTAAACAGTGAAAGAAGAAATACATCATTGTTTTCACAGAAAGTTAGGCCACAGCATCAGTTGTGTCGACCATGATATGGGAATAATGGTTTAAAGTGGATTGGAGTACTACAGTTGTAGGACACTGCATTCTGCTGCCCACTTTGGTGGTAGATTAAAAGAGACTGTTGTCTATAGCCCAGTATTAGATCCCCTTACCAACTAAAACATGTCTGAAATATACACCAAGTATCTCTCTAGAGTCATTTGGCACTTGTAAAAATTTCTAGCATCCCTCCTTCCCGCCTTGAAAAGCAGCTTTGTAATACTCTTTCAAAAAATGCCATTTAATCGTACTTACTGCTTGGCTAAAGTTTTTTTTTCTTGATCTCATCTAATTGAACATGAGTCAGTGGAAGCACAGTTTATGTTAATCTGATCTTCCTCATGTACAAAAGCTTTTGGTTTTTGTTTTTTTTTCTGAAGCCCCACTCTTTCTTGAATTGTACTACTGACTTCAGCTAAATAACCACAGCATTTCTACCACCTTAGTCATTAGCATTGTCTAGTTATGCTCCCAGTTGTAGCTGATAACCTATTAGTGTTTTTCTGAGGTGGAAAAAACCAAAGAGGGTTGTTGATGTGAGTGTTGCTGTCTCCTTACCTGAATACTGCCCTCTTGTTTTCTATTTAGCTGGCTCTTCGAGATGCACTTCTGAAAAAGAGAAAACGGCTACTGAAGTAACAGAACAGTAACAGAGAGGAATATTTCATCACCCTTGAAGAAACAGCCCTAGAAATGCTTATTTCCACCCACTGCTCCCCCAAAGGGACTCGAATGCCTTAAGGATTTATCTCTATTCTGTTCTGAATTAAACTGAACACATTCAAGCTGTTGGAACTGCATCTCTAGGACAGATGGAAGAGGCTTTAATCCTTGCAGGATTTTGATTTTTTTTTTTTCTTTAAGAATTCTAAGGTAGCAGTTGTCTTTTATTGAATATAATTTACTTACAGCTGGGTTTGTATGTGTAAGTATTAAAACATAAAACCTTATTGTAAAAATATTTTAAGCAATTCATGAATAGGTAATTGGAAGGAAAAATAATATTCCGTCTCAATCTCTAATGTGTGTATATAACGTGTGCAGCTGTCTTGGGGACATGCTACGGACTGAGTAAATAATTTTATAAGTGACTGGTTTTTGCCAGTGTAATAGTAATAAAAGCAATTTTTTCTGATACAGGTAAGTTCAAGTGATAAGCTGGGGGAAGAACAATCTCATTATGGTTTATGCCTACAGAGAATACAATACGCATTGACATAAAATCCTCCTTCACCATTCTATTTGTTGTTGAAAAACTGAAGCCCCCTTACCTGGCTGTGCAGCTGTCCTAAAACTAAAGATTTGGAGGCTGAAAGGGGGAGACACTTACTTTTCATACTCTTGAAGTTTAGGACAAGCGTCTAGTCTCCTCTCCTCCTTTTCCTCTTGTTTACAGCAAGCGGAAAGCCATGGGCTGTGGCTGTCCCCCCTCCCCTACAGACTACTGGACTACCTTTACCAAACTATTAGGCAAATAGAAGCCTGGGGCAGTGCAGTTTACTCCTGGGTTCTTTTCGCTGTGCTACAGTCGCTGTCCTTCCCGTCCTACCGCT